TATTGCCAACTATTCTCATAATCGATTATTATTCATTTAATCAATTAGTTGTTGCAGTCCTAAACTCCAGGCAGACAGCTAAGTACATACATGCTAAACGCATACGGAAACTGTTTTAACACATCTTTCAGTCCACATTCACACTGAGCTACATCAAGCACAGCTTTTTCAACGCTGATTAGAGCTGAGCGACATTGAGCTACAGTGCACATTTTGTCGTACTACGTAGCTCTTCTTTTGGCAGTCTATCAAAGCCAATTGGGGCCAAATCGCACAAAAGCCGCTGGAGAAATAGGTCATGTTAAGGGCCGGGGCACACCTGGGCAACACCTCACCGAGCGGCAATTGTGCATGATTCCGCACTGATTGCTGCGCCGCGGTCACGGAATCGCCCAGCACAGACTGTCGCGCTGTGGGTGCCATTATTTTCTAATGACACCCCAGTCGCGCCGGGCGGATCGCGTGTTTCCAGCCGAGCATCATAACACTAAAATAGCCGCGCGCCGAGTATTGCTAAAAAAAGGTTAATTTTATGCGATTGCCGCACAGATGTCACCCCATTGAAATCAATGGGGCCGCGCGGCAATGGCTGTCTGCATTAAGCAGGACCGCGCGATCCCGGATCGCTGAGGTCTGCACCGGGCCTCAAGCGACAAGCTTGAGCTGCAAGCTACTGGCGACATTGAGCTCCATTGAAATGCTTTGGACGTGCTACATTGAGCTATTTTTGAGCGGAAATCGCGCTACAAATGGCTCAGTGTGAATGGGGTCTCAAATCAGAACCTCACTTTTATTTCAAAGAAGGTCAAACAGTATTCAACAACAAACAAAACAACAAGGGCATTTGGTCTCCCTGGCTGACCGTGGGTCCTCAGCTAATAAAAGGAAGACATCACGGAAAACCCTGGAGTGATAGTTTAGCTACACAAAAGTGTTCTCAAGTACAGAGGTCACTGTCTCTGGGTAGGAGACACCATTCCTTTGATGAAGGCTAGCACAAACCTTACTGTGTCCTTTGCTCTTCCTTTTAAACCCTGAGATAGCGAATACTCCCATACTAATTTGTCATGGTAAGGAAGCGGACATCACATAGGTATGATCTGGAGCCTTACTGTGCCCACTGTACAGCACTTTCTGCAATTTAATACTATTTTTTTTGTTTTGACTCCAAAACTTGTTTACCGCAGTGAGCCTTGGTGGTACAATTTTGCAAGAAAATTCAGAGTAATAATATGGCCGACAGTACCCTTGAGTGCTGGTGTTTGCATCCCAAAAAACACTATAAAAAATATCAGAGCTTGCATTACATTTAGAATGAGGCTGTAAATATGTTACCTTTGCATCTGTATACACTGAGACCAGCCCATGGTTGATGTTTACTAGGACAGACAGGTAACTCTGCGAGTGTTTACTCTGACACTCCAGCTTCTTTCGTCTGCGACAGTGATAGTTCGAGTCCAGGATATATTCATATTGTAGGGTCTCCTCTTCTGAGCCGCTGTCATCTTCTGTGGGGATATGGCCAACGGTAGTTCAAAGACTCCCATAAATTACGCAAAATATATTATTTAAAGTGAACCTCCCCAATCCCCAATTGTTTAACTATATAGGTACCTTCATAATTGAACACAACAGCTGTTTTAAAAAACACACATTCTATCCCCAAAACACACAGCTTATGCAGATTAAATAGGGCTGTTACTAATATGCAAATGGTGACTTTTCTCAAATGTCATCAAATAGGCCCTCATTTCCAACTTTAACCACTCCGCCTGGCCAGTGATGTATACAAAGAGCATTGACACATGACTGCCACAAGAAGGGAAGAGGTGTCTTTGACGTGCACACTGCGATTGACAGCCTGGCTTCACACACGGGGTACAACTGGGGGAACAATGGGTCTGTAGATACTGAAACAGAGGTTTTGTTCACAGATTAAAGCACTGGTAGTTGTATCAGTTAAATATTTGGGATCTCTGAACTGTATATGAACACTGAGTAAAGCTATTAGTTCAGATAGATGGATGTATGGTTTGTATGGGCCTGAAAAAAGAGAGAAAAAAGGCTGACCCATAAAACATTGCCTGTGTCATGCTAGGCTGGACCAATATTAAAGCCAAATTCCATCTACATTTTTGTTTTGTATTCAACAGAAAATAGAAAATATGGTAAGGTTTAAAAAAGGTTTTAAATATTGTCCCTGTTGAAGAGATTTACCCTCGCTTCCTGTTCTGTCCAACACCACTCACTTCCTGTTTTGTCTAATGTCCATCAACTGAGCAGAAAGTGAGGAGAAAGCCACTAAATGTGGACAGGGCAATACAAAAGTTGAAAAAAAAGTTTAAACCCTTCTGCACTCTATTCCAAAAACAGCAAAAAACATTTATAAAAAGTAACTGATACAGAAAATAGATATATCTGTAAGTTTCTTTTTATTTGGACTAGATTATGTTTATACAAAGATTTGGAAAAGCACAGACTAATTGTGGACCTAATGAAACGTGTATATTGGGTAGTATACAGCACTGTTGTTGAGGGGGGTGTTAGGTTATTGGTGACAGTTTATGTACTCTTTGGGGGGGGGAATTTATCAAGACTGGAGCAGACAAAATCTGGAGCAGTTGCCCATGGCAACCAATCAGCTTCTCTCTTCAGTTTGTTCAGTTAAGATTTTATGAAAGAGAGAAGATGATTGGTTGAAATGCACAGCTGCTCCAGATTTTGTCTGCTCCAGTTTTGATAAATTCCCCCTTTTGTGTTTTATGTAAACTATGCAATGACTGTGCCCCTGTCTGGCTGTCACTGGACCAGGTGATTTTTTTTAGCTCTTGTTATATTGCCTTTATTTTAATGAAAATTTCAATAAAAATAATCCTTAAATAAAAGATATAATATAGTCAAAAACCATCCTAATTTTCCTTAAAATGAATAACCCAAAGCGGCACCTGCACTCACCATAATGGGTGGATTTGAAGCCACAGTTGGCATCTTTACTGAAGGTGTTAATCAGCTGGCTGGCGACAGAGAGGCCGATTCCATAGGACAGGTTTTCAAATGTTGCCACCATAAAGAATGTTCAAAAGGTACAGCATACCAAGACATATTAGACAATTGTGAGCTTCCAACCTTATGGCAACAGCATGGTGAAGACTCTTTCCTGTTCCAGCATGACTCTGACCCTGTGCACAAAGCCAACTTCATAAAGACATGATCTGATGAGCTTGGTGCAAAGGAACGCCAATGGCCTGAAGAGAGCCCTGACTTCAACACTACTGAACACAGGTGAGATGAATTGTTGGAACTCCAATTGGGAGCCAAAGTCATCCCTTTTTTGGGCTAAATGGGCACAAATTCCCAAAGACACACTATAAAAGTCTTCTGGAAACCCTTTCCCAAAAGAGTGGAGGCTGTTCTAACCACAATGGGGGGGGAGGGGGGGACACACCATCTCCATGGTCTTGGAATGGTGTGATGGTTTACAAAGTTTGGCCCTATAATGAATATAACTGCTACACATGCAGTTTTGTAATTTAATGGTTTCAAAAAATTAACTCTGTTCAAATGGTGTACAAAATGCCCCAGAAATGTAATTTACAATTTGTGTGATTTGCTTACCCCCTTTTCTAAGAAGCGCTCCTAGGAGCACTTAGATACAAGACAGATTTCAGCCATCGCCTGCAATTGGAGTTTAATCTTTGGAGGGATACTCCTTAAGGCTCATTTATTTCTTAAGGGATGTAGACACTGCAGTATTCTGGTTACAACTCTGAGATTGCTCAGATGCTTATAATGAAGGCAGATTCTCAAATTTAGAAATCAATCCAAGAAAAGAAACTAGCAGAAGTTGCTTCAGCAGATCCAGAGCAAATATTTAAGGTTGGGGCTTTTTGGGTGTTCATAACCACAGTGAATAAGATATTTAAATGTATAAAAAAAAAAGAAGATTGGTTGATTGGACCATTATACATATATTCACGATATGCAATCAATGTGGAATATGTATACATGTTCAATGTATTTATTGAAACTGTAATAGGTCCAGGAGGTACTTTATACACCATATGGGACAAACGTACTGGCTTCTTGTACACACAGAGACGACATGTATGATGTTTTAAAGATTTTATTTAACTAATTCAATACATTGTATTTTTTATACATTTAAATATTTTAATTACTGTGGTTATGAACACCCAAAAAGCCCCAACCTTAAATATTTGCTCTTGATCTAGTGTATGCATATTGGGGGTGAGGTGTTATATGGAGAGGGGATCTAATGCGTTCTGTGACAATTAGAAGTTTCTTTAGAACAAAGCAAGGTATGAATCTATAGTCATCTGCTAAAATCCATGCAATGTAAACAGATCACCTAGGTACATAGAGGTTGTTTTTTCTGTCATCAAAACTGGAGTTGCATAGATTAGACCAGCTAACCCCCATGAGAACTGTCCAGACCACGCAGAAGACAATGGAAGAAGAGGTAAGAGAACCACACATCATAAGAAGGACCATACACAGTCCAACTATCTAGGCAGCCTGTGCCTGGGTACCTGCAGGCTTTACTCACCTGTTATATAATTTCTCATAGAAGACTTTGTTTGGTAGCATTAAGTAAACACTGGGCAGGGTCAGCTCTAGGACAAAGTGGGAATTGCTAATGGCTTTTTCCTGGAACTCCGTCATTTCTATGGTGTCTCCAGGCATTACCATCTAAAAAATCAGAATGATAGATAAATTACAACAGGAATACACAGCGCTCCCCAAAACCATAACTTGTCATATGTAAAGATGAAAGATTAACAAGCAGAACATTTAACCTAAAACTGAATTACCTATAGACCAATCTGTTTTTCTGCAGCAGCTAGTTGGATTTTAACTTTTATTTTCCAACCATTTTAAACCACTTTGTGTGCACATATTGCCTTTGTACAGTAATTACCTTGTAAAAGCAGCAGTGACACCATCAATGTGCTGCACACTTAGCCTGGGCAGAGAATGGGAGTGGTTGGGTAGTTTAGCAAAAGACACTGGCCAGGGCTGACACAACTCAGTCCACACACATGATATGTGTTGTCAGATACAATAGGACTTAGGCTCTGTTCACACCTAGGCGTATTGAATATGCGCGTTTGTCGCTCGTTTCGTGACGAGCGTTTTTACCGCGATTTGCTGTAAAAAAAAAAACGTGCGACAAACGCACGTTTCCGAGGGCTACTTTGCTGTATCCCAATGGAAACGCGTGACAAAAACGCCGCAAAGAAGCTCATGTACCTTTTCAGGCGTAGGCCGTTTTTTGCGCGTTCAGACGGGCTGAAATACAGAAGGTGTGAACCATACTCATAGAAAACAATGGGATTTTCATGTTTGAGCGTTTTGTAGAGCGTTCGTAGAGCGTTGAACGCGCTACAAAGCGTACAGGTGTGAACCAGGCCTTAAGACTCGAGTCTTAACTTGCAGGGTCTTTAAAGGGACAAAACATAGGGAAATGTGCATATACTGCATGTGTATGTATATGTGTTAGCTGGTGAGATCTATCTATCTTTTAGCACACATTTTATTTCGGTAACTTACCACGGGTAACATTTATAGTCACTGTTGTACCGATTATTATCTATGTGTCTTGAAACAACCTCCTTAAAAGCACAGAAACACACAAGGGATCCCGCACATCCCAATGGCAGCTGAGAAACCCCATGCGTCGCTGCATCAAATCGGTCAAGCAAAACAAACGACAAACGCACTCAACAATTTGTCACCAGTTATACAGTAAGGTGCCCCCATGTGCTCCAAGATGGAAACTCTCATAGTTTAGAGTTAGGACAGCACTATAAGAGGTGCCTTGGCGTGGCTTTCACATCCTCTGCAGAAGACGTGTATCCAAACCTCTGTTATTATCCTTAGTGGTGAGACAAGTTGCTTTACATGCTGGTTTGTGAGTGTGCCATGATGCCTTTCTACTGTTTTACTGTTCAAAGCCCATTTCGTGTGCACCTTACTGTATAACTGGTGACAAGTTGTTGAGTGCGTTTGTAGTTTGTTTTGCTTGAAACAACCTTACTCTCTCACATACCTCTTCATTCTCAAACATGACCCAACGGGAGGAGAAGGGTGATGGCTCGGGACGTTTGAAGTCGCAGACATCTTTTAGTGAGTGAGAGGCCCCTTCATCATCTTCCTGAAACTGTCCGTCATCATCCTCCTCTGCAGCTACTCGCTCCAGAATAGAATGCATGGCTACGGGATTGATTTTCAACACAATTCTTGAGGGAAAGTAAAAAAAGAACATATTATACTAATGGTAAAATCGCACTAACATATGATCAACACCAAGGATTTAGACCCCATTCACACTGAGCGACATGGACATTGAGCGACGTATCGCACGACTTCTTCCTATTGGGCTGTATGCAATCAGTAGCAATATCGCTCAAAATCGCTCTAAAAAAGGGTCATGTAGGAGCGACAAGCTACCAGCGACGAGCTACAAGCGATATTGAGCGACGAGATGTGAACAGCTACATTGAAATGTATTGGTGAAGCTACATAAAGCGATATAGCGCGGAAATATGAGCGATATCGCTGCAAAAATCGCGCGATAAATCGCTCAATGTGAACAGGGCCTTAGAGAAATACTAAAGGCTCAGCATTTTTCACCTTAATGCATTCTCTGCATTAAAGTGACATTAAACTCTCAGATTTTTTAACATAAAACAATACTGTAATGTGCGCCTTACTGTAATCCATGGTTGTTTCCCTTCTCTTTGCTGCTCTTCCTTTTAAATCGGTATCTGTGCTCATGCTCTGCAGCAGACTGCCTTGTCTCAGGAATGGATACACAGTGTCTGTGTATAGGTTTGTATAGGCTTGTAACCTGAGCCAGCGCTACAGGAAGAGGCCCTGAGCTGAAAAGGGAAGTTCTCCAGAAGCATGAGAAGACATGAGGATTTAAAAGGAAGAGCAGCAAAGAGAAGGGAAACAACCATGGATTACAGTAAGACACACATTACAGTATTGTTTTATGTTAAAAAATCTGAGGGTTTAATGTCACTTTAAGCTAATAACACTCCAGTACCTTTACATGCCCCCACCTCCAAAAACTTACCTTTCATCCGTGTTCACTGCTGCAGCTCCAAGACAGTCTGTGCTGCTTTCCTGAAGTTCCAGGATGTATATGAGGGATCCCGAAGTCAGGGAGGACAGGGCAGCAATGGGCTGCTGCAGCTGCCTGTCACATTACTATGAGGAGGGAGGAGGGAGGAGGCTGGAGCATGGGCACAGCTTGCCAAGTGCTGTGTGTTTCAGTGGCTCACACAGCTCAGCTCTGATGGAGCAAAGCTGCAAACGCGCATGCATGGGTGTCTCCTTTGCAACCTGCTAGGCAAAGAAGGGACCTGTAAATAGGAGGCGAGGGGGCTGCGGTCTGAGAGCTGAAGAAAATAAAATTAAATGGGGCAGTGTAAAAAGTAAAAAAGCTTAAGTAACTCCTGATTTCCTGTGCTGAATAAAAAAGCCAAGGGTTTAATATGAGTTTACCTATAGATATTGCAGGACATTCCTGTACAACAGAGATAAGACTGGTAGGGGGAAAAAACATCAAAGCAGCATAAGGGGCCAATCAGTTGTTCTGCAGAGCAAGGAACATGCTGGAGGGAAGAGAGAGAAGAATGACCAAGAGATAAGCTCATCAGTGCACTGCTTCTCCTGTGACTGTCCAGTCACAGGGTGGGGGTAGGAAGGAGACCCGTAAGCACTGTGAAACTGCAGCAAAAGAAGAAACAGGTCTTCCGCCCGGCCAGACAGGGCTGTGATGTGTATATAACAAAAAGATATAAACCTTGGCCAATCAAAATTGTCGGATGTTGTCATATCCCCATCTAAATCATTGCTTTTCTTGACCACCTTTAGGAACTGGATCTCTGGTCCATTACTTTCTTCCTGGAAGGCAGCTGCAGAAGATACAAAATATAGAAAGAATAGTATATTCCCTTCTTGCTGGCTGTTAAAAATGAGGTTGATCACATAAATTAAAGGGGTGTTCACAAAGTCCATAAGCCATGCACAGTACGTTTGCTAGTCTTCAATCTGACCCTTGCGTAACTGTGGATCCCACTGAATCCTAGGCTTTGTCTGTACACAGGGTATAGGGTTCTCTCAAAGCCAAGAATTAGTCCCATCTCCACCTGGCACAAAACGCCCACCCTTGATATTAAACTGTCTGATGGCAAAGCTATTACTGACCGATAAGGTTTTGCCATTTGACGGTTGGATGTTAGTGGGTTTCCTATGCTTTGGTCACACACTCAGTATAAATAGCATTCATGTTAAGACTTATTCTCCCAGAAAATGCCACAAAGTTAGTTTCTGGATACAACAGGATCCTATAAGAGCAGGGAAGGGCAGAGAAGTTACCGCGAGCTACAGCTCGCGGTATACTGAGCCTAGGGTGACGGGAGGACGCTAGTTTGTGTCCTCTCATTACCCTAAGGAGAACTATGGGGAAAAGCCTTAACCCCATAGTTCTCCTTTAACAGTCCAGAAAATAAAAGAACAAAATGCATAATAGCTCACATTAAGGTTGCCACCTTTTCTTCAAGTGAAACCCGAACACTCAAGCGTGGTGTGCGGCAATAATTTTATTTTTTTGAGAATATAGAGGAGAGAGTGAGGAAAGGAAGCCAGGAGAAAGAGCAAGAAGGGACAGCCAGGGGAGGGAGTAAGGAGACAATGTATAGAGGACTACAAATCCCAGCAATATACTATACAACAATACAAAATAATATGAAGCTACATATTCTGTGTTATTCCGGGGTGGTGCCCTGATGTCTCCAGGGTATCAGGTGGCCTGTGCAGGCTCTCAGGTGGGCTATGTGGGCTCTCCACCGGGACCAGGAGGCAGTGCTGTGACAGTTCACAAACTATCGAGGCACTGTCTGTTCAACAAAGACTCACACACAAGTGCTGGCCCTGATTAACCCCTCAAGCCACGTACCTGTAGCCACACAGACAGCAGCACGCTCTGCCGGGATTGTGCCCACAAAGCAGAGGGTTCATGCATTCATCCCCAGGACCCCGGGGTTGCCCCTGTCTGCCTGAAAATTTGCGACATCATATGTCGGGGGCTAAGCTGGCCTGAAAACCAGACACAAGATGTCAAACCCGAACGGTCTGGCTGAATCCCGGACAGGTGGCAACCCTAGCTCACACACCTATTCCTGAAATAAAGGGAGCACTGTTATAGGGTGGCCATTCAGATTCCTACAAATGCCCATTCTTGACTGGTTCTCTTTAAAGCATGGCTTACATACTATAGCTGTCTACACTTGCACCATCATTGACTTCTGTACTGTACATACCTGCTAGCTCTTTAAAAGTAAACTCCAGTTTCAATTGCTCTGGGGAAGAACCGCCAAGGACCTCAGTCTTAAATTCAGCATCGGAGAACCTCAGGTGCAGGATCTCTTTTTGCAGTGACTTCTTGAACCAAGGCCCCCGCTCCTGGTCCGAACGCAGGTCCGGAATGGGGAACCGCACTGCAAGGTGGAGAGATGGAGCAGAGACTAGCACAGAGGTCCGCGTGGTCACTGGGGATCGGGAATCATCCAAGAGCACCTCTGGAAAGTCTTTGTGCTGAGAGGAATATAGAGAAAACAGTTCATGAATATAATGTGTAAAAGTATAGAACAATGCAATATTAACATGAACCAAAATCAAAACTGACCAGACTAATGTGTTTGTTGTAGGAGGTGAACAAGTGCGAGGTCATCATTTCCACAGTGCCCAGTTTCTGTACCTGGAGCAAGGAGTTCAGTCTATCTACAATGGTGACGTCCAGCTCACACGAGGCGGAAGTCAATTGGATTTGAAGCTCTGATCTCTGTGGAGCTGAACCTAGCCGCCCAGAACTGGCCTGAAGACGGGAAAGAAAAAAAAAAACCTTATAAAAGCCATCAAAATGGAAAATATAGAATGAAAAGTGAAAGAATCAAACTTGGTGATGCTGTTGGCTGTCAGAGCAGCACTCTGAAAGAGCCTTCCTATACATGTTATAAGATTCATTTTAACCATTTCATCCCAATCCAGTATGTTAGCTAGTATTTTATTCTACAACTACAAGCCATGATGAAGGCAGACTGGCGAGTCCCCCAAAACACATTGGATACTTCAGTGCCTCTCACTCAGGCAAATGAAAATCAACTGGACCTATTAAACTTAGTTGGCGCTATCCCCTCTTGGCTGCCTTTTTGGAGGTTTCCCAGAGACAGGAAGAGGGGGAAAAGTTATCCAATGAGATCACAGACAAAAATAAAATCCAGACAGAAATGTTAACTCTTCTCCACTCTATCCAAAAATAAACAAAATTACCTAGGGTTCCCCTTTAAAAAACGCCATGATTCTTAAAAGGTAATCCTAGCAGTGGGGCTACGCCTGCACTGCAAGAGTTAACTGCTCATATTTCTCTAGGGGACGGAATAAAGAAGAAATACTCAAACGATCCTCCATCCCATGGCATTGACCGCTCGCCTCTCCAGCCCTCCTCTCCATTTGTGGTATGTTCCTCGGCATCCTCTTGTCTAATAGACTTGTATCAGACATGATGACGTCACAGGTCTTTAGACTGCTGGACCCGCGGGAGAAGAGGCGGCGGGGACCAATGTAGCAGCCAGGCAGGCCCAAGAATTGGGTAAGCATTTCTTCATTTTCACTCCCTAGACAAGTTAACCCTTGCAGTGCGAGGTAGCCCCACTGAAAGAGTTAACTTTTCAAAATCCTGGAGTTCCGCTTTCAACAAATCATTCAATATTTGTCTTACTAGCAAATATCTGGTTGTGTATGGCAAAGTGTAAATCCCCTACTCTGTACACACCAAATGCATCAACTCACCTGAGCTCCTCTGTTCTCTGAATGCTTATAGTGCAGGTGAACACATGGAGATGATCTGCTGTCCCCATCCTTTTCTAGGTCAAATTTCAGTAGCTTCACACAAATAAAAAAGGAAGGAACAAACAGGTCAAATAAACTATTAACGTTGTTTTACTGAATCTGTATCGACATCCTTCCAGGTTACCTCTGTGTAGTGAGGTGGAACAGACGGAGAATCGCTGGGGTAAAGGCACTCTAGGAGCTCGGTCTGCCCAATACACACGTCAGTGCTGAAACTCCGAGCACCGGACCTCTGACGCTGTTCATGGGAAATTTTAAGTTGAGTCCCTAGGAACCTTTCGAGAAAAAAAAAAAAGAAAATTAGTTTAAAGTAAATGGATATAATACCTTGATATATACTCTGGGTACAACATTGTTAAAGCATCCAATCTTTAAAATGTATTGAAAACCAAAAAATAAAATGTAAAAAATTGCAGCATACCTTAGATGTGGCGGCTGCATCAGTTCTAATTTTTTAGGCCAAGAACTTTTTGTTCAGGGTCAAGAACATTTCCATTAGAGCCGAATAGAAATCCGGCATCTTTGCAACTTCTTGTGTACTGATTTAAATGCGTCTCCTCCAAAAGATACGGTACAGTGAGCATTGTCACCATTAGACAGGAAATATGTTACTGGCCAGGGCACCAGGTTACAACAAGAAAGCGCCTTTAAAAGAAAACTAATGCAGCCACCGCATCGAAGAACTGGTAAGATTTGTTCATCATCTTTAAGTGACAATAAATTCAATTAAAACCTTAAAAATGCAGTCAAGTGCCTTAACTATTATCAAAAATGTATCTTATTTGTGAATCACTCAAATCATCTCTGAATTGGTGCTGACACTGTCCTTCCTTCATTATGGAGGGTGGCTACTTGTGTTCCCCATGGTCCCTGTGTGTGTTGTAAAGTAGTCACCGCTCCAAGCACACTCCCGGGATGGACTACAATCTCAATACGAATTAGAAAACTAAACATGAAAATTGTAGTCCATCACAGGGGTGAGCTTGGAGCGGTGACTACTTTACAACACACACAGGGACCATGGGGAACAAAAGTAGCCCCCCTCCAGAAGGAAGGACAGTGTCAGCACCAATTCAGAGATAATTGGAGGATCTAGAGCCGAGTGATACACAAATAAGTCCAGTATTGTTAACAGTTAAAGGTATTTGAATGTTTTTTTTTTTAATATATAACTCCTGAGTTTAGCGTCACTTTAAAAGGAAGCTATAATTGTTTTGGGTCAGTGTCATTTTCTTTTTTGTTAATATATATATATATATAACACACTTTGGTTTAACAAAAAAACAAAACAATCCACTACAATGGTCTCTTAGAGCACAATGGGTTATCTAAAGAGACAGCAGAAGTGGATTGCCTTTAAGCCTACTTTTTCTGATTGAAATATCGCACTAAAGGTCCTATTTATAATGGAGAGTCGATGTAGGAATCAGCACTCCGCTGGACACTACAGTGTTTACACCACACTGCTCTTGCATTTTGTAAGCTATCCATCAAATACAGGCCACATAATACTGCATAGAGCACTCTATGATTGAACTGGAGGCTGGTCACATGACTAACAAGTCATATGACTGGGCTCTCTTTCTCCAGGCCCCCCCCCCCCC